ATATATATATATATATATATATATATATATATGTGTGTGTGTGTGTGTGGAGAGAGATATTAAGTTTATTAACTTTTACTCTTAAGAAAAAGAGACATTTTATGTATCTATTATAAAATATTGAAATATAAAATGAAAAGAAAAAATAAATGCTTGATTACATTTTTTTTAGATAATCATAACTTTATTCATAAAGTTATAGTTATATAAAAAAATAAAAATAAAAACCAAAATAACGAGCATCACCATGTAATATATATAGATTAAAGAGATTTGAATATTAAAATAATAATATTTAGCTATTATTTTAAAAACGATACATACAAATTAAACAAGTCAAATGGCAGTAATTTTGTTGATACATATATTTTATGAAAGGGTAGATTTCTAAAGAGTATGATATAATAGTGTATTTGTATGTTGAGCAAGAGTTTTGTTCTTGGATATACTACTTAGGTACGAGAAACTAAATATAAATCACGTGTTTTATCTTACCATATGTGATTGGTTGGTAAAAAAACATCTAATGTTTCGATGTTCACATTTTATCAATCTTGAAGAATAAACTTCAATAATCTTCAAGTGAAACTTTTTCCACACCTATAAATATTAGAAATACAAAGATGAAGGAAATGTACCTTTGTTCAAACTTTTGAACAAATTCTAATTCTCTCTCTCTCTTTTTTTTTTTTTTTTTTTATCCTAGAAATGATCTTGAGTTTCATATCTGTATCATTGATATGAACATGGTGTTTTCATTTCTTTACTAGTGATATGACCAAATAATTTCCAATTGCTTCGTTTTTATACTCAGCTACTCACAATTACTATTTAGTATTTATCGGCTTTATGATGTTATTTATTTATTGCAATCTTTTGCGTCATCTACTCTACTAGTTCTTTTTAGTTAAAGTTGCAAATATGGTATTTAGTATCATAGACGTGTGAAAGTAGGCTTGCTAAATCAGGTGGTTGATCTTAAAATTTGTTCTGAAATCGATCAAGTAAATATTATTCTTTAGAATTTTAATTTTGTATTTTTATCTGGAAGACAAGTATTTTAAATTTTTAATAAAATTTTCCAAAATATTAATAAAACATAAAATAACACAAATTATTACTACATTTATATACTTGTTGTATTTTACTACACGTACGAAGAGAAACAAGACCCGTGGTCGTGGATGACAGCTCTGACTCGCATTAAAGTTGGTCTAGTCGTCTCCACCTTTACTTCACACTAGAAGTTTCTTGGCATGTTCAACTGAGTTAGCAGCCAAAACACCGCCATTGCAATTTGCAGTGCTTCTGCCACCAAAGTAAGGCCTTCTTTATATGCTTCTCTCCCTCTCAACTCAAGCATTACAACTGCCTCATGTTCTGTACCATGTCCATGAGGTCCCTTCTTCTCTTCTCTTTCTTGTTTTATTCTGTTTCTGCACTAACCTCCGATGGGGTTACTCTATTGTCACTCTTGAGGCACTGGACATCTGTGCCTCATTCCATAAACACCACCTGGCTTGCCTCTGATTCCACTCCTTGCTCCTCTTGGGTAGGAGTTCAATGTGACCATGCCAACCGTGTTGTCTACGTTAACCTCACAGGTTTTGGGATTTCTGGCCAATTAGGACCTCAAATTGGAAACATTACTCACCTACACTACTTAGACCTTGCTCATAACAACCTTCATGGCCAAATACCTGACACGTTCAAAAACTTGCAAAACCTCAAGTTTATAAGCCTTTCATCTAATCAACTGTCTGGCGAAATTCCAGACTCCTTGACTCAAATCTCTCCACTACAACTAGTTAATCTCTCTGATAATAGTTTAAGTGGCTCCATTCCCACAAGTATTGGGAACATGACTGAGCTGTTGTGGCTGTATCTTAAACGTAACAACTTGTCAGGGACAATTCCCTCATCCATTGGGAACTGCAGTAAATTACAAGTCTTGTTTTTGAATGAAAATCAGTTGGAGGGTATCCTGCCTCAGAGTCTAAACAATCTCCGTGATCTTGCTTCTTTTCGTGTCCCTAAAAATAGACTTACGGGTACCATTACTTTGGGTTCCAAAAATTGTAAAAATTTACAGTCTTTGGATCTCTCATTCAATGAGTTTAGTGGAGGCCTTCCCTCAAGCTTGGGGAACTGTAGTGGTTTGTCAATATTTGCTGCAGTGAGCTGCAATTTAGTTGGGAATATTCCAACCTCCTTTGGCCTACTGACCAAGCTTTCTACTCTACGCCTTCCCGAGAACCATTTATCTGGAAAAATACCATCAGAAATTGGCAACTGCAAGTCTCTGACAGAGATACATCTGTATACCAATCGACTTGAGGGAAACATTCCAAGTGAGCTGGGAAAACTAAGTAAACTGGTGGATCTTGAATTGTTTACCAATCAATTAACTGGTGAAATTCCGCTAAGTATCTGGAAGATTAAAGGTCTTCAGCATCTCCTTCTGTATAATAATAGTCTTTCTGGGGAACTGCCATTGGAGATGACGGAGCTCAAGCAACTGAAAAATGTCACGTTGTTTAACAACCAGTTCTCCGGAGTCATACCTCCAAGCTTGGGAATTAACAGCAGTTTAGTTTTGTTGGACTTGACAAATAATAAATTCACCGGCACCATCCCACCAAATCTGTGTTTTGGCAATAAGTTAAGCATCCTGGTTATGGGCTTCAATCAACTTCAAGGTAGCATACCTCCTGATGTTGGGAGCTGTACAACCCTTCGAAGGTTAATTCTGAAAAATAATAATTTTACTGGGCCTCTTCCTGATTTTAGAAGCAATCTGAATCTCGCATATATGGATATCAGCAACAACAAAATTCATGGAGCAATTCCATCAAGTTTGGGAAATTGCAGAAATCTCACCGACTTAATTTTGTCCAAGAACAAATTTACAGGGCTTATACCCTCAGAGCTGGGGAACCTTGGGAATCTTCGGATTTTGAATCTCGCTCACAACAACTTAGAAGGTCCCTTGCCCTCTCAGCTGTCAAACTGTACCAAAATGGACAGGTTTGATGTTGGATTTAATTTCCTAAATGGTTCGTTGCCATCCAGTCTGCAGAGCTGGATGGGACTAACCACACTAATTTTGAGTGAGAATCACTTTAGTGTGGGCATCCCAGCTTTCTTGTCGGAATTTAAGAAGCTTTCTGAACTACAACTTGGTGGCAATAGGTTTGGAGGCAAAATTCCTAGATCGATTGGTGCATTGCTGAACTTGATGTATGGACTGAATCTAAGTTCAAATAGGCTGATAGGTGG